AGAGGGAATCTATTGGAATAATGATCCTGACTGCAGTAGTCATCTCACAGATGTAAGAATGTGTAAAAATTCAAAGTGTTCACTTAAAATGGGTTCATTTTTAATGTAGTTAAACTATATTTCAGTATAATCAATTGAAAACATAGACCAAAGAAATATATAAAAGATCCATAAACAGAGCCTTATAAATATGTAAGATCAATTCAGGACAATGGTGGTTCAGCAAATAGCAGCAGGGTATGCTGCATGATCTATAAAAAAAGAAAAGGGAATAGACTATTGGATCTAAATCTTAAAAGTGAAACAAAGTTCCTACAACTGGAAACATTTTCATCATTTTGGTAAAGCAAAGTTTCTTAAACAAGACCTAAAAAGCACTCACCAAAAACAGAAAGACTGATTAAATGGACATTAAAAATAAGAACATCTGTTCATTCAAAGACCCTTTCAAAGAGTGAAAAAGTCAGTGTGAGAAACATCTGCAAAACACGTGAGTAGTATACAGAAGACAAACACGATGTTTGCAAACCACTAAGAAAATGACTAACAATCCAAGAGAAAAATTGACATGATTTGTGAACAAACACTTCAAAAAGGTTAATATCCAAATGGCTGATAAACAGGAAGAAGTGTTCAGGAGCTTTAATCATTAGAGAAATAGAAACTAAAACCAGAATGAGATACTATCACATACCTCCAAAAGAAATAAAAGGAAAGACACAGCAAATGCTGCAAAGGGTGTGAAGCACCTGGAACTCCTGTCCACTGCTGGTGAGAAGGGTAAACTGGTTTAATCCTTTGGAAGATACATTTCCCTGTGACCCAACAATATTCACTACCAGATGTATATAGCCTCCAACAAAATTCATAAATACAGGCACAAGATACATACAATATTCTGCACATAGGAGGATGTGTGTACAAATAGCACAATTGTATGTAATAGCCCTATATGAGGAACAAAATGTACAAGAATAGAATCAATAAAATGTGGGACATTCATCCAAATGTGGGATATTATGATATGATGATAAAAATGAATTAACTATTAGCACATGAAATTACAGATGAATCTCACAATGCTTGAAAGAACATACACTGTCTAATTCCATTTATAGAATTCAAAATTATAGCTTTAGAAGTTTATTTAAAAATACCAATCGCTAGCCAGGCACAGTGGCATGTGTCTATAAAAGAAAAGGACTAGAGTAGTAGCTCAGTGGTACAGGGCTCCTGGGTTCAATTTTCAGTACTGAAAAAGCAAAAAACTGCTAAGAAGTACTGAATGTTTACTGTATGTTAAGTATCATTCCAAGTAAGTTTTGTATTTTAACTCAATATTCACAAAAACCTTTTAAGAAAGATGTCACAGAGTATTCCTAAATGAGCAAATTAAATAACAAAGTGGTTAAATAACTTGCTCAAGTCCACAGAGCAACTTGAGTGTTAAAGCTGGGAGGTGAAGACACTTTGGTTTGAGGGCCTGTCTCTTTTTTTTTGGTGGTGGTGCTGGGGATCAGAACCCAAGGTCTTGTGCATGCAAGGTAAGTACTCTACTACTTGAACTACATCCCCAGCCCAGGACCTTACTGTTAACACTAAGCTATCAGTGTAGTTCAATGACAGAACTTTAATGCAAAGATAGAGAAGGGCAAATGTTCAGGTGCTGGGAAGAGGAGAAAGGTCAAATTCTCACATTCCAAAGAAAAAAAAATCAGTAGATATTGCCTAAAACTGATTGGGGGAGGGGGAAAGGGGAGAAGAAGAGATCTACCAGTCATACATTACAAACAAAATCTGGAGGAAAGACCAGAAAAAATAGTTGATTTTCATGGCAACAGTAGTTGTCTCTAGGAAATGGGTCAGAATGGAATGGGGACAGTCATATTTCCTTAAAAGCCCTGTGTCACCATCTCATATGTTTTAAAAACCACATACACATTGCTTTGACAAAAATAAAGTAAAAAAGACTGAAATATTTGAAAAATAACAAGTTACCACTTATTGAGCCCCAATGTTACTGGTTTTTGCAAAAACCTTAGTGCACTCTCTCATGGAATCTCCTAACAATAGTGAGATCCTACCTAGCATTACCTTTCTTTTGCTGATTAAGAGTCAACTATCCAGGGCTCATTGACTAGTAAGTGGCAGAACTACAGTCCAGGGAGACCACAGGCGTGAGACCCACACTAATAAGAGGAGATGAGGCCTTTAATAATTGGGATATTTAGGTGGTGGCCAGGACAGGAGCTAGTGACAGTGAGTTAGGAGGGGACATGAGGATGCCCGTGCATGTAAGGAGAGGGTCGAAAGAGATGAGTCCTAGCATTAACAATCACCGATATTTATTGCACACTTCCTGTGTCCATTGTGTCAAGAGACTGAATGAATGTTTGCTAACCACCCCACGGTGTAGGCAGGACTAGGACCTCCCTACACCCAACAGGGTGGCTCAAGTGAAGGGCCTAATTCAAGTTCAGCACAGCACAGTTCTTCAGGGCCCAGGCTCTTCCCCACTATTCAAAACACTTGGGCCATTAAGGAAGAACCCAAATTTAGGAGGAGTGAAAGATTTAGGAGTGGAAGTGGGACAGATACTGAGTTTTGTGTAAGAATAGGTCCAAATCATGGGTTGGCGATATGGGCCAAGGAAAAGGTTAGAGAAATTGACTCATACTATCCAGAGGAAGGCCAGCTGTGAAAGGGGAGAGGGGGATTTCAGGAAGATATGGGAGCCAGGACATAGCTCCTCATCAGCAGGAGAGGCCAGGAGACAACAGTGAGTAGTATGTCCACAGGCAGAAGAAGGGAACTAGGGAAGACAGAGGAGTTTCACTCCAAGAAATTGGGGATGTGTTTGCAATGCTGGATCTGCCCTCATCTCTGGGGCCCAGGGTGGCCTAGAGGCCTGGTCCTTGCTGTCTTAGCAGCCCCTCTGGCCACCTTTCCAGTTTTTGCTCTGTCCTGCCATTCTAGCCTTCCAACCCTTCCTCTCAACCTGCTCAGCCCTCCCAGTGTGTGGTTCCAACTTTCTTCTACTTAGTGTCCCTCACATCAATTGGTACACTTCTTTTCTTTAAATACTCGATTTTTTAAAAAAATCTTTTTAAGGGAGGGACAGGAGGGCGAAAGACCTACTGGTTTGGTAATTAATGGTGATCAATACCCACAGAAGGCTGTTTTAATGGCATGGTGGGTTAGAATTGATGAGATGACAGTGGCTATGGAGAGAACAGCAGCCGAGGAGTTACATGCTTTGAGCAGCAGGGCTGGGCAACTGTGTCCTTGCAGTGGAGGCGGGTGGATGGGAAGCTTGTTTGCAGGCTGTGACAAGAAAGTACGGGAAGGAGAAGAAAGTGATGAAGAGGTGGGCTACCAGAGCTCCAGGGTATGTGTGGGGTTGGTCATGAGGGAAGAAGCTACCTTTTGAGGCTAAGAAAAAAGAAACAAGGAAGGGAGCAAGAAGGAAATGAGGAGAAAGAGAAAGCCTTGGCTTCTTCTTTCCTGGTGGAGAAGAGAGGAGACAGCTCGGGGCCACAAATATGTGGCACAGAGGAGCTGCTGATGACAAGGAGAGGGGAAGTCAGCACTAGCCACACTGAGGCCCATGACACTGTACCTTCATTTCTTCTCTCCTCTTTCAGGACTAACCAAGATGGTTCTGTGGGTTCTGTGTTTTGGGCTCTGACTCAGTGTGAAGTGTGTCACTCTCTGAATCATCAGCAATACTTGATATCACTTCCTATCACTTCACTTTCTTGTGCAGGTAGTGAGAGGCAGGCCCTGAGGAGGGTGAGGTCATGCTTTAAACATGTGCACATACCCAGTTCTTGCTTGAAGGATACTGAAAGGCATTTTAACTGCAGAAAGGGTGGTGGATTTCATTCTCATGACCTCAAATGTTTAATAAAGTTTAACAAAGCAGACATGAACTGACAATAGGAGTTTTTAGTTTCTCAGGGGATAATCAGATGGCAATTCCCTTCATGGACTGGTAACATATTTTTCTTTGAAGCAGAAAATGATCTGTATAGAGCACAAAACCGTATTTTATCTTAATGATGAGCTCCTCAGAACTTTTCTTTAAATGGAGAAAACCATTTGATTGGTGGGCGTTTGACAATAAAAATAGAGCACAGCAGCTGTTTAGTTTTACAAGCCTAATGTAATATTAAAACCTATAAAACAGCCAGTCCCAGTGGTGCATGTCTGTAATCTCAGCTATTAGGGATGCTGAAGCAGGAGGATGGCAGCTTTGAGGCCAGTCTGGGCAATTCAGCAAAACCCTATCTCAAAATAAAATATAAAAAGAACCAGGGGTATAGCTCAATAGTAGAGCACCCCTGAGTTCAAGCCCCAGTACCAAAAAAAAAAAAACAAAAAAAACAAAAACAAAGCTACTACAAAATACTTCTCACATTAAATATTAGTACTGTGACACTTAATACTCTATCTCCAAAACACCAGAGGCCTCACATCTCAACATTAATTTATTAATGCATCATTACTAACAGCACAGAAATGTATGACAAGGGTTTGGACCCCATCCTGCTGCTGTTCAAGGACTAAAACCATCTGAGTATTTTCTAATTGATAGGGCTAAAAGAATGGTACCAGGACCTGATTTCATTTGCCTTCCTTGAAGATGCAATTCTTGATATTTATAGACCTGTGTGTGTGCGTATATATATATGTGTGTGTGTGTGTATATATATATATATATATATATATATATAAATAAATGGCTTCTATGTCTATTCTAACAATAAGCAAGATTCAAATTTCTATTTTTTTACTTTAAAGTTTTCACTCCTAAGACTTAAGAAAATATATTCCTAAAATACACCAGACCTCATGGTATTCTTTCAAGTCCTGGAGATGTTGAGGATCAGCAACTCGAATTCCCTGAGGCAACAGGGGCTACACCTGTAACACATTTTTTGTATGGAAGAATTTCCTAAGTGCCTTTAGATGTATATTAATTAAGCTTAATCTCTTACCCTATTGTTGGGTTGATGTTCGGATCAAAACTGTCTTCCACAAACCGCCACACGATACTGGATTTGCCTACACCTGTATCCTGAAAGAGAATGAGACGTGCGACTAAGAAAAAGTGAATCTGCTTGCAAGTGCAAAAATCAACTTTATGGTATAAGTTCAGGATTTCAGGAAAATAATATTAGATGTGTATCAAATTTTGTAAGTTGAGGGGCACAAAAGAGGTTTTCATAAAAACTTAAATAGGAGAGTTCAAATGTGTCATAGGGGAAGTGTTTTGCAGTTTTTAAGACATCAGGATCTTTGAACCACTTGAAGTTTCTGCTTTATGTGAAAAGTGACATACTTGCTTTTTCCAACATGTATTTGTAAACTCTGAGCTCCTGAATTAGTTGAGTATCCCTGATGAATCCTGTCCCCACTCTATTCGGAGGGCAACAGCCTAGTTGTGGGAACTCTTTTTCATCTTCAAAGCAGAAACTCAGGAAGGAGAGCATCAACCTCAGAAGACTCTGAAAGGGCCAAAGTACCCTGACAAGACAGGAAACCCAAGCTGCAAGCTCGCCTTTGGGGTTTCCTGGTTTGAACACCCCCTCTCCGCGGGAAGAGTTACTTCGCGAAGTAACTCTGCAAGAAGTGTCAGGGTGTCCCACGAGTTCAACAGACGGGAAGGAGGCCAGTGTTGCTGGTCGACCTCCAGACCTGCGGGCTTCCCTGGGGGGGCTGGCCGCTCCCACCCTGCACCAGCCATCCCAGGCGAGCAGCCTGCGCCCCGGGGAGGGGGTCCCCGTGGGTCCTCGCGCCCGGGCTTCGGCTGGGCGCGGCCAGG